TAACACCATTGAATCCAAACCTGCAAAAGATAAGACTGTTATTCTCTGCCATTACCTCTGCATCGATCCATTTACCAGTTACCCACCTGCTATTTACATTTGTTTGCTACAACCTGCAATAAAACCTGTTGTTTGGATTTACCTGTGTTGCATTCTTCTGTTTCACGAGACAGCTAACATTTGATGCACATATAAAATACATCTCAAAAAACACCTTTAACATCTTAGGAACATTGCTCAACCTTTTCTCTCTTTTGCCGATGTCACATGTAAACTTAAGATGATAGGGGAATGAGCTTTTTCATTTAAAGCCCATAAGTTATGGAATGTGCTTCCCTTCACTATTAGAAATTCTTCAGCTTTGGAACATTTTAAACAGTTTATCAAGACATATTTATAAGGTTGTTTTTAATTAATTAATTGGTTTTCTATTTATTTAATGTTGTTTCTGTTTGTATTTCACTGTAGATCTTTAGGTTATTTGCCCTAAGGTTCAATTCTCAAATTTGTGACTAAGACCAGCACAGACCCTGTTAATGTCCAGCCAGCTCCAGAGGGCCCCAACACATACCTTGGTAACCAGGCAAAGCAGGTACAAGTACAAACCATAGTAATGTACAGACAACAAGTGCTCTGCCAATAGACCCTGCAGACTGGCCTTCTGTATTAACTGTATTAGTACATTAATAACTGTATTAGTATATTCTATATTAGTACATTCAACCCAGGACCAAATTTGTCTTACCTAAGGGGAAATCAAGAGGCTTCCATGCAGGTCTATATAATAGACAACTCTCAAATGGTGCACTGCTTCCCACAGGATTTTGTGAGACTTGTGGCGGCAGATGACGTCACATATTAATTAGCATATTTATGACGTTGGGTTTGTGGTCAGACAAGTTTTGGCACTTTGGATCACATACTGAAATATATAGGCTTAGATCACTGCCACAATTCTGCGCACGAAAGATCATATTTTGAGCGCACAAAAGTGCATTTTGCACGCGCACCGATCTGAGTTTTGTGGAGAAAATGTTCGTTTCACAAAGAAAAAAGTATTTTGAGAGCACGAAAATCAATTTTGCATTTAAAATAAGTTTTTAGATGTGTGCAGACCTTCTCTTTTGCACATGCAACGTTTCACTAGCTTGCTCCCTTGATGCCCGCCTTCAGTGCTCTCTAAATGCCAATGGCTCGCTTGTTCAACACAACCCAGCTTTACAATATGCCATAATTCCAGCCAATCAGAGACGAGGCTGCTAAATTCTGAGTGGCTGTCTTGACAACCAATCACAACATTCCTTGCATTACCTCGACAGCAGAAGAGGAAAAATACAGTGCATGCATAATTATTATGCAAGTTGATATTCTGATCATATTTTTTTTCCAAGCACATTTTACCAATTCCAAACAACATCAATCTTAATAACTACTATTAATCTTGTATTTAATCACTTATAATCTATATATTATGGTTCATGAAGGCTGGAAGTGAAAAGCGCCTTATATTCAGGTGTGCATGTAAAACTGGAGTTATGTTTTTGGAGTAAGATAATTTTCACTTTTACGAGATTACTTCCTCTTTTTGGCTGGGTTTCAATTCTCCATGTTGTAAACTCTAGGGGCAAAGCTTCTAAACCGGGTTTTTAGGGGCGTGATATTCAAATGACGATTGTTTTCTGCTGTCACATTTATCAACATGCGATCATTCGTACGATGAGATTGGCAGCATATGAATGTTTCATGAATCACACGTGAACTCTGTCATAAGTTGATTTGTGCGCACGGATCTGCGCTTGTTTCTACGTTATTGATAAATGAGGCCCACTGTTTTGTACTCAATTATTGACGAGTCTGATGCGGTACGGCCAACTGAATGTGCTGCTTTTGCCTCTCAATGCACAGAATAGACACCGAAAGAGGCGATACTGCACCGGGAAAGTCAGGCTTACTGGCGAAATCTTCCTTTCTTTCCTTCTTTTTTGTAAAGCGCTTTTTACAATGCAGATTATGTCAAAGCAGCTTTACAGTATTAAATAGGTTAATAGTGTGTCATTATCCTCTAGCCAGACGAAACCAGCAACTGCAATTCCAGGCTGCAACAAAGTCAGATTGTGCAGAGGACTCATCTGGTCCCCATGGTCTTGTCCCGATGGCCATCTAGGTGACGAGGTCTTTGAAAGGGGTTCTGTCTCTGGTGCCCATCTAGTTGACATGGTCTCTACTGACATTCAGGGCTGTCAAGGTCATCTCTAGGTGCTGATCCACCATCTGGACTGGATACGGACTGGATCCGAGTGACTGCAGTGACCATCTGATCTGGATACAGTTGTCACACTTCTACTGCGTCGGTGCAAGGAGACGCAGGAGTAACTCAACTTCACAAAATTTAATGAACAGGGTAACGCACACGGAGATGATGTTTAACACTGGACGCAGGACACAGGAAAACACAGGGCTTAAATAGCAGGAACTAAACTAGGGGTAACAGACGAGACACGAGACCTGAATCAAATTAGCACAATCAGAACACGGGAGAGACTGGGTCACAGGGAGCACATGGGGAACAAAACAACACAGGAACACAAGGACAGTCCATAGGCATGACATTCCCTCCCCCTCCCGGAAGGCGCATCCACGCGCCTCATAACATCCAACGAGGAGGCGGGGGGGCGCTCTGGAGGCCTCTAGGGACAGGCTTACATGGGACGGAAAGGCCTCCAGGGCGGTTCCCATTCCGGGACCCATGGCAGATCGGGCAGTTCAAGGGGACATGGTGGAGCAGGCAGCTCGGGGAGCCTTGGCGGAGCAGGCAGTCTAGGGAGCCATGGCAGAGCAGGCAGCTCGGGTAGCCATGGCGGAGCAGGAAATCCGGGGGGCCATGGTGAAGCAGGCAGTTCAGGGGGCCATGGTGGAATAGCCTCCGTGGCCTTGGCCTCAGCACTCGGCCCGGAGTCATATAGCCCCCCCAAAAAAGTGGCCGGTGGATGTGACGGTGGAGCGGCCGGCGGACGTGAAGGTGGAGTGGCCGGCAGACTTGACAATGGAGCAGCCGGCTTGAGAGTGCAGCGGCCGGCTTGAGAGTGCAGCGGCCGGCGGGCTTGATCACATAACATAAGTTTATTTTATGTATGTTACAATGAAATTAAAATAAGCCTACTAAGCTGATGTATCATGCAGTGCAGTACTGGACAGTTAACGCCACTCTTCTGAAGAAGTCCAGCAAATCCCGATTTAGTTCCTTGCATTGCTGGTGCTCCATCAGTAACGACAGCAGAGAGTTTAGCAAAGCCCCCATACTCACGTACATATTCTCAACAGCTTTGAAAATATCCTCTCCCTTTGTGTTGCCATGTAATGGCGCCAAGTCAACAGCTCCT